GAGTCTTCAACAACTGTAGAATGTAATTGTAAAATGGTGTTATCTAAATAAAGAATTTTGAATATTGAATTTTTTTAATAAGACAACAACAAGTGTAGCAGTATACTTTCTACACGTGCCACCTTTATTTAGTCCTCGCAAATTCCCAGAACTCTTATCGCATGGCACGTGTAACATTTGCAACGCGGCTTCGCGACTTTCAAGCCGTTCCTACCGTTGTAGCAGCACGTGTACGCTACACGTGTAACTTTGTATATAAGGCCGAAACATCTCCTCAATAAAAACACTTCTATTCTGTCGACTGTTTAATTACAAACTCCCACGTTTTCGACGAGTGGTTCCTGGACCTGAGTCCTTAAAGGGCGTGTACACACACCCCCCTAAAATACATTTCATGTTTGCCGGGTACAAGAAATAAACTATTTTCTAAATAATATTTTATTTTACAAAAGCAAATTGTAGTAATACAATCATGTATGTAGAGAGTATATTCATCATTTGCAGCATGTATTTACCATCTATGATAAATATGTTATAAACGTTCATGCATGTCACTTCACTTTTATTAGAACGAATTAAATATTTGTACAGTTCCTTGAATCCTGTGAAATGTAATAAATAAGTAATAATAATATAATATTATAAAATAGAATCAGCGATGGTTCGCGGACCTTTCGCGGGCCGTGCACACACTCAACTTTGTATATAACGAATATAAAAGTATACCTGTGAATTTGTCCATTTGTCATCTAACATAAGAAAACGGCAGATCTTAATGAAATTTAATATGAAAATAAACATTAGATTGAATATGAGAATTGATAATTGAAATTATTAATTTTTAATTTTTATCTAAAACAAAACAGACAAACAAACAGTTACAATTGATGACTGTAGATGTATATTTAAAACTAAGTATAGAATTATATTTTTTTATTATAAGTAAGTTTTATTATTGACAAATTGCAACCTAACTAATGCAAGGTTGGGGTTAACAGCTAGTCTAAAGTAGAGAGTATAGTAGAGCTGTCAAATCTTTTACTTTTTTGTTCTATGTTAATAGAATCTCAAACAATCAGACGGCCCACGTCATGGTGAGCGATAACCGTTGCCTATGTACTTGTACAGCGCTATGGACATCATGTTATTATGGGGCACCTGTCTAAGACTAAGATGTCATGCCTCTTATATATGTAATTTCACTACCTAATCGTATCCTATAAAGAAAACACAAAGTCAAGCTGTTAAATTGTATGCTACAAGGTAAGCTGTACGGTGGCGGCTGAAATCAGCTATTTGACTGAAGCATCTCAGTCACAATGGGAGACGTAAACGACTCTTTACTGTCTCTCTGGTAAAAAAAGTTACCAACATTGTTATCAGATAAACTGACCGTATTATTAAGAGTGATCAACATTGTCTTAGTAGATATATTGAATATTACTACTACTAATTTACTATAGAAAAACCATGTTATTGTTACCATTTGAAGTCAAATTTTAGAATACGGAGATAGCTTAGTCCTCAAAAATGGAGAAATAAAAATAAATCTTTCTGTCATTTTAGAAAAACTGCTTCTTAGTCAATTAATCTGTAAAGGTATTACTATAGATAGCAGTGATATAGTGACAGCAGTGGCGTGTTACATGTTTTTTTATTGTAGCGAAGTTTTCTGATATTGATATGTTTTCCACTTTCACTAAATTCAAGTCAGCCATTCAAGAACACATAATGAAACTAAGTTTAAAATTTAATATTTATAAATAAAAAAAAAATATATAAAACTTCTTTAAACATTTACGCATGCCATGGTAACCAGTAATTAAGTAAACACTATATACCTGAACTTTTGCAAGTGATAATAATTGTAACTTCATAGTGTTGGTCGCATAAATAAATAAATAAAGCTAAATAAAAATTACATTTGAATATATTCGTATAAAGAATTACCTTTAAATTTGTTTCGATTTAATTGCAATCCACATACAGATTCTGCTTCAATGACGACTAAATAGAATTTTTCGAACTCGTAACTTAGCAATCCATGCAGTATTGTATTTTTTAAATACCAAAATATTATACTGATATATGGAAATAGTTTCACATCCTTAAAAAATAATTAAGTTATTTATGTATCCGTAGGTACGTACTGTCAAATTACTTATTACAGCCAACTTACTAATTCAGCTTCATTGAAAAAGTCTCTGGAGAAATTTATTAACACTTGTGTATATACTAAACCATGTAAAAAAAATTCTGCGGCGTGATACAGGATCTGCAACGTTTTCCATTAGACATTATTTGCATGTGAAATAATTTTTCAGATGTTTTATCTCATCTTACAGCTTCAAGTAGTAAATATGTTCTGATTGAGTATCAATAAGTAATAGTATCGCACTATCTCATCTTGAGTCTGGTTTATAAACTAGGGTAAGTTTACTTATTAAATCGTATCGTGTTAAATTTTTATATAAAAAATTATTACGGTTATATATTAAAAAATAAATGTAACATTATAAATTAAAATAACACAATGAAATAACAAACACAAATAATACAAAGAAATTGGCGCTTTGTCGTAGAAAACACAAATTTATATATGAAAATAAAACACAACAAAATATTAAAATATCCGTTTTTACGAACGAGTTTCGTCGTTTCACCAGTGCTGCAGAAACGGCTCGAAGGATTAATTATGTGTATGGCTGTGGTGTCGCAAAAGAAAACACAGTGCATTTTTGGTTTCAACATTTTCGTTCTGGAAATTTCGATCGAACCCCGTGGGCGGCTGGAATCCAAGGTTGATAATGAAGAATTGAAGGCTATTGTGGAAGCGGATCCACCGCAAACTACGTCCGAGTTAGCTGCAGGCTGCGGTGTTAGTTGTTTTACTCCACTTGAAGCAAAGGGGGAAGGTGAAAAAGCTTGAAGGGCGGGTCCCTTATGAATTGAGTGGAACAAATCGACAAACGCGCGTAGTCTGCTGCGTTACATTAGTCAACCGCCATAATAATGAAGAGATTTTAAATCGAATCATCAACCTGTGATGAAAAGTGAATTTTGTAGGATAATCGGAAACGCTTATCGCAATGTCTGAACCTTGGCGAAACAGCCAAAAAAAGTTATGAGCGTTTGGTGAACTAGTGCCGGTATTATTGCTGCACTTCAGCTTTCTTAAATCTGGCCAGACGATTGCGGGAGAGGAGTCAGTAATTGCAAACCATGACGGAAAAGCTAGCTGCTAAACAACCGAGGCTTCTCAATCGCTGTAGGCCACTGCTGCTTTAGGACAACGCTAGACCACACACTGCACAACAGACAGTTTCTAAATTAGAAGAGCTTCAATTGGAATGTCTAAGACATCCACCGTACTCCCCGGATCTTATTCCCACAGATTACCATTTTTTTCGAAATCAGAAACTGCTTGCAAGGGAAAAAATTCAACACCGATGGGGCAGTCCAAAGCGCCTTCAAAGATTTTATTGATTCCCATCCGAATGTGTTTTTTAGCAAAATTGCAGAAATAGCAATGGTACATACTTTGATTAAATAAATATATTATATTTTGAGAAATTCGACTTTAGGTTACTCTCTTACAAAATGCCCATTTCATATGTTAGGACCTAATAAATAGAGAGAAAATTAGCCAGAAATGTGTATTGCAACATACTAAATACTAAGCAAAATTTGTATTTACCTGTGCTCGAGATATTGTTACATGTAAACGAAATGCCTTTAAAATATCTTTATAAACATTAAGCATTTTACTCCAATACTGTTTATTATTTTCATTATTGTGCTGTAATACATCAGTGATCCAAACTTCCATTTCAGTTTTAATTAAATTTGTTATACATATATTATATACTATATTCGTGTCGATGCATGCCAGTATTACTATACATGATATGTCCAGAATCGACGTATATTCAATATATTTAAACATACATACCGTAATAATTGTATATAATAAGAATATCAATGATACACTAAGCCTATTACATTTATATATATTTTTTAAATTATCATGCTTATTGATTTGAAATTTGTACGTTGAATATATTGTCAATAGTAATTCTGCGTTATCTTTAGAGTATACAATGTTACAAGTAGTATTTAAAGCAAATCCTGTGACATAATAAATAAAGTCAAATACAGTTAGTAACGTATTGTAACCAGATAACCTAATAGTTCGAAATATGAACTGGACTGTGAAGAAAACAAAGCCAAAACATGATATACTGTGGTATAACATTCCATTTGGAGTAACAAAGTTGTCACGAATGTAAAATTTTGGACTTAGTAAAAAAGCTTGCATAAGATTCAAAGGCAGTAACATCCTCTGGAAATCTTTATCCAGAACATTATTTAGCAATATTTCGTTGCATTTCTTTGTTATTGACATTATTATTAATACAATTCTTTAATTAATCTATAGCAATCGTTATTTAAACTATCACTATACGATTCAAAATTTCTAAATTTTTTTTTTTATTTATACAATATAAATGAATTTTATAGAAATCTGTTCTACAATTTTTCATAAATGAAATTTTAATGCGATTATTTATGTTTGTATTGTTTAATTAATATAATTACATTCTATATAAGCGTAACAAAAGTGTTCCTAAACTCCTAAAGTAAATTATTGTATGTTCACTTAGCTTTAATATTTTTGTAATGGTTATCTGTAGTCGGTGACAAGGAGTCAATTTAACTGTAGTACTGTTTTTATATTCATCAATATAATGTAACTTTATAATATTAATTTATTAACATTCGTTGGGTGGACATCTTTTAATTTCATTATCGATATTCATAATAGAATTGGTTAGGTACGAATAAAATTTAGGTTCCTGATGGTCCCGTACTGTACTGAGTGAAATTTATATGTAAAAATTTAACACAGTATACAATATAGAATTAAATAAAATTGTGGTATAAAAAATACAAAGTGTGCTAATGTAGACAATGACATTATTTATGAGAAGGCATAAAAATTATAGAAATGCAAATTGTAATAACACAATAGTATATGTAGTTATTAATGCGCCCATACGTAAGGGTAATGCTGCATCAACATTAAAAACACCAAAAGCGCTGATCTTGCTGCTATGAATCCTTTGAGTTCTTAGTACATTTTTAGAAAACCGTCGCACACTTCCTAGAAATTAATATTTATTATTAATTTATAAGTTGCTTAATGAATCTAATAACTACAACCTAATAATTAGGTAGATTATATAAAAATTACGGTTTGTAAGTAGCTTACGTGTATATGCTAATATCCATAGTATGAGCAGCATTTCGAGATTAGTAGGTACTGATTGTGAGTGAGTTTCAGTAGTGACAGGCAAGACTTGTGCAGGTAGTTTAATATATTAGACTACCTGTATATGTCTTACCTATCATTTATCTGATACGACTTCAGTATATTACTGCTACTATTGCCTTCATAACAAAATATATATAGATGTGGTAAGATCCTATTATTGTTATACATTACATGTAATTTAATTCAAATCTATAAAACCATCGCATACTGCACTCCTAACTGTATTGTACAGATTACATTTTAAGAACAGAAAGAATGTTGTGTAATGTTTTCCAGCAATATTTTTTTATTAAAATATTTATCAGTATTTCAAGACAAAATTATCCCATGGAGTACCAGACTCCATAATTTAATTTTAAGACTATGGAAGGTTTTACTGGAAATTCGGAAGCTGATAATTTAAGACTTCCTTCACCGTACTAGCGTCAGTTTAGCCGCTTACAAGAACACTCTGTTAGATCAGGTACTTAGTCTTTTGAACACTAACTTTTTACGTCAAATTTAACCCTAGATGTGTTTTTTCTTACATAACTTTGCGTGTTATGTGTTAATGTGTTTCATCATTATTAAATTGTGGATACTTACGAGATTTCCAAATATTGGTATTGTATATGGACAGTTGGCTGGCTGATACACTTTGGTAAAGCATATTGCATGATAAACATAACGCTGATTCTATCATCAACCCTTTCAATATCCAGAAAGTTACTCCTAATGAGTGTGTAGCGATTGATTTTATGTCAATCTAAAAAATAACAATGTCTTATCATAATCTAAAATGGCTTAATTTCTTTGCCAAGATGGTACATGATGGAAAAAGAAAAAAATATGCTACATATCCAACTATGAGTAGATATATTTATGTATATGTATGACCAAGATGGTGATAGTGAATAGTTATTTATTTTAAGATTTCTTTTTTATGCTAATATCTGTATAAATTAATAATATTTTGAGAAAGATAACAAAGATATTACAATAGTTTTGCGACATTCACAGTAGCATTAAATACTGCAATAGTTCATATCCTATTTAAAGCTTGTTTTCTAAATAGTAATTTCTATTGAGTGCAAATTTTGATACAGCCGATAAAATACCTTAGTGCTCAGAAGTGGCAATGCACGTTGCTGAGACTATTATAGGTAGTCTATGTTGTTTTTAGTATTGTTCATTTCCATACATAACAATTGGAACTTCAATCGGGACCACCACAATTTATTCATTCTTCACCATTGTCGATAGTGTAACAGATATTTGTTATGCTAAAGCTAATTTAACATCATTTAAGTATGAATAACTGAAATCATAATGTCGAATATAATAAAAGACATAATTACCGCATGACTTTTGATCCAAATTAAAAGTATTTCAATGTACAGCAGGGACTGTAGAAAAGTTGTTATAAAGTAAACTAGAATCTAAAAAGAAGAAAAGTGCTTATTAATTATATTAGATTATATTATTAAAAGATATATTTCATCAACTGTATGGTATATTTACAATTGGTTCAAATGCTTTTTTCGCTAAATTTATTACTTCAATTATATCTTCAAGTATTGCAAATAGTTTTTTAGTATCGTAATTACATATATTGTTATTGTATTTCATCTTATGTTTAGTTAACTCATGCCAAATATCTATTTTGTAGGCTATGAATATGATTATTATCAATGCGTAAATTAATTCTAGATCAAATATTATAGTTGTTAATATAAATATTGCTCTGGATATATTCCAAAACGGGTCCAAACTTATTTTCGCTGTTACAATAATCAAGTAAATAATACAAATAGTACAACAGAAACCTATAGACATTTTTTTAAATGTATCGATATATGTATCGATGTGTAAGTTTTTATCTAACACTTGTAGTTTTTTTATAAACATAATATTGTCATGTTTTCTTTTAATGTTCAGTACACTAATATAAACAAAGTTAATTAAATACTGAAAGTAAGTTATAAAGTAGATAATTCGTAATGAATGTATTGCACCAAAGTCAGTAAATGATATTGTTACATAAAACAACACAGTCAGAAATATATTTGCAAACATTGTCATTATTATATTTTTAATTGTGATGACAGTCACGTCATCGTTAATAATATTATACTTCTTCTGACAGAAACATATATGAATATAGTAAAGTGATTTAAAAATGTTTAAAAACTTATTTCCCATATTGCTTTTCTTGCTCCAGCTTTAACTGACATTGTTATAATATGGATATTACACGCTGCTCTAATCGATATAAAGTAATTCATTACATTTCAGTCGTCACCACAGTATGGAAAAATAAATAAACGACTCGTGGAATATGAATATATTTTAATGAAATTGATTGAACTTACAGTAATTTATGATTCGTTTCTATATGTAAACATCCAATAATGTAATTTAATTTGTAAATAATTTTTATCAAGGTCTCGGAGAAATATAAAAATTGAGTGCCGAATTCTTATCAACATAGTTTTTAATCAGAACACAGTACGTGACTAGTTTTTGGTTATCTAGTAAACATTCTAAATATTCAATAAAATGAATAAAATAAATTCAAAGAAACTGAAACGTAACAAAATTACTAAAGAATTTAAAGCAGTTTTAGTTTCATTGAACATAATACAATCGATATTTTTCTTATCAAGATTTATTATAGCAAAGAACATTGTAATCAAAAACAGATATTTGAATCACATGCTATCAATATTTGGGACGTGTTTTTTCCTTGGCATTCATTTAATTTCTGTACGCGAACCGTCCATTCGAAACTTTGTAGGGAATACAGAGATCGAATTGTTTTTTTATGTCGTTTCAATGGTTAATATCTTTGGATTCTTAATTATATGTTGTACAAACATTATACAAGCTAAATGTAATGTCAAAATGGTGTTAAGTATCCAAAAAGCTCACAACGCTATGAACTTTACGCCTAACAAGAGTTTAAGGAAGATTATTTTGTCAAACTGGATAGAAACCTTGTTAATGTTCATTCTATATTTCTTTTTCACTCTGCTACATTATTTTTACTTCGGATCAAAATGGGACGTTTATCAGACCTTGCGTGTTGTCACTTTAATATATTTTGATGCAAATTTAATATATTCTATTGGAGTAATTAAACTGTTAGGATACGAAATGAATCTATGGATTTATAACGTCAAATGCTGTTTGAATGAAAGCAAATATGTAAAAATGAATATATCGTTGCACTGGATTGAAATATATCAAAGTTATTTGGATTTGTTAAAAGCGTTTGATATATTCAAAACTCTATTTCAACTCGCTGTAAGTTTCATTGGTTTTTTACACATTATTTTTTATATATTACAAATGAGTAATGTTAACATATAAAATGTATTCATTTATTGATAGCTTTGGTGATTTACCTGTTTAGTTCCGGTAATCGCGGGTTTGATTCTTGCACAGTATAATCATTTACATTCATGAGTATGATTATTTGTATTGATCTGGATAGCTTCTATACATGTATATTATGTATTAGGTAGGTACAATTATTATTATAAAAAAAAATATATTTACGAGTATGTATTTCTATCAGTTGTCATGTCAAGTTCTTTATGGTACCTCAGTTGGCCCTCCGATCGATCCCCCGTCCAATTCAAACGGGGATCGAAATTACGACGGCCTGAGCCGAGGTTCGAACCCCTAGTGGTGACCTCAGACTAAAGTCGTATCCGTCAGGCAGGAGTTGGCCTTCAGCCGCTCCATAAGTCCTTCCGCGGGTTTGGAGTGCCATCTGCACTCGCCCCCTAACGTCCGGTGAAGCTGTAAAGGCTAGCTACGGCCAACAACATTAGAGTAGTCTGAAAAAAAAAGTTATTGTTATCATTATCGTTATCAACATTTTTAATAGAAAATATAAAATAATAAAAGATCGAATATTATTTTCTCTGCTATTTATATAAATTTTTATTTATCGTTTCCTATTATCACTTCAAATAAAGAACTCTTATCTAAAAAAATCACAATTTTATATACTTTTATTATTTATACTTTACATTTTTTATCTCTCCTTTTCTATTTTTTTTTCATAAATTAAAGCATTTGTATATTGTTTGCAGATTTTATTTCAAACTATAAAAATTGTGGCATTGACTTTGGTGTATGTACAAGTTATGATTGATGTTTTCAAAGATGAAGCACTAAATGCTGTAAGTTCATTCAATCAACGAACGATCTCTAATACGATATGTTGTGGTTATAGTCCGGTATAACCCGGAAAAACCATTTTAATATTTTTTATTGGACATTTAAAATTATTCAATACGCATTGTAAAAATGTCTTGCTGTATGTATGTATATTTTGCTGTATTAGCAACGGTTACAATTTTCAATCACAAATTTGCTGTTCCAGAAGACTAAGATGTCATACTGAAACATCTTGAAATTTCATCTAGATACATACCTATTAATCTTATATATAAAATTCTCTTGTCACAGTTCGTTCCCATACTCCTCCGAAACGGCTTGACCGATTTTCATGAAATTTTGTGAGCGTAGTGAGTAGATCTGAGAATCAGCCAACATCTATTTTTCATCCCCCTAAATGTTAGGGGTAGTCCACGCCTAAATTTTGTTTTTATTTTAAGGCAAAAAAACGTTTACCGGGACAGCTAGTAGATATTATAAATATTAATGATATATACAAACCTTTAAGCTTGTAATGCAAGCTGTGTGTTAGCTGAAATATGTAGGCTTACCTCTAGTATATACCATATTTAAAGGTCACCAAAACCCTATCATAAGGGTTGATGTTTTAAGATTTTTTTATTACAGTTTGTGGGTATCATGCCAAAAGTTCTTGTTTTCTCTTGGCTATTCAAGACTTTCGTACTACTGACCCACTTATGTGCGAAATGTGAAAACTTCTATTACCTTGTGAACAGAGCAAATATCATCTGTATAATGATGCTTAATAATGAGATCTCAGGTTAGTATTATTTCATTATTGGAAATATTAATTTATATTACTAATAGCAGATACTAGCTGTATCCGCGCCTTCGTCCGCGTGGAATTTAACTTTATTTTTCTAAAATAAAAGTAGCCTAAGTTAGTCCTTATTACATCCGCTACCTGCCAAAAAAAGTTCCGTTAAAATCGGTCCTGCCATACGAAGTCGCGGGTAGAGCTGGTAATAAATAAACATGCCACGAATGAAACGAAAAAAGAATTTGAAAAATACAAACACTATCTATAAAAGTAACTTAATGGAATATTCCACTTAATTTTACAAATGTAATCTGACGTCACAATTGATATAGGTCATAGGTATAGCCTAAGATACGTCCTAAGTGAGATATGTATTCGATAATGTCAACGTTTATATATTAGCTAATTTTATAATTCCGAAATGCTTCGCTCAGGCTCAATATTGAGGTTCTTATTTTATTAAAACTAATATATCTCAATAGAATAGAATAGAATATATCTTTATTGCTAACTGTGTGGGTACATTTTTTTTGTAGGTGGTATAACAATATATCCTTACTCCTTACTAATATTATAAATGCGAAAGTAACTTTGTCTGTCTGTCTGTCTCGTTTTCACGCCAGAACTACTGCATCCATTTAAATAAAATTTGGTATACAGATAGTCTAGACCCTGAGAAAGGACATAGGCTACTTTTTAATGCGAAGAAAGGGTTATAAGGGGTTGAAAGGGGAGATGAAACGTTCTATGGAAGTATCATCATTTTTGAAGCTAGAAGCTTGAAACTCTATACCTTGCGAACGAAGTTGCGAGCACAGCTAGTATAGTATATATATCAACAGTTACACCCTATCGGGCATGCAACAGTTTACATTACTACCGATTTGATTTCAGATTTAAGATTATCATAAAGTATTCGTTGAAATCGAATGATGTGAAGGACAATTTTGTTGAATTTTAACAAAATTAAACAAAATTAAATATTTATAATAAATAACGTATTTATTTCGATAAGGATTATTAACGTATTTATTAATATATGAATAAACAAATAGATTCGCAAATAATGAATTATTTTAGAAGACTTTGTTGACATAAAAAAGGTTTTAATGAATTAACCTTAAAAGATATATATTAAGACATATATTAAAAGATAACAATATTATTATACATATTTTTTGCGTAACTTTAACCGGTTACGCAGTGCACGCAGCGGAAGCTCTTAAAATGAATATTTATTGACACTTTTTTTATTGCTGCTCTGTACCTATTGGTTATAGCGTGATGTTATATATATGACCTGTAGAACTCTGGGATAATATTCCTTTCTAATAGCGAAATAATTTTTAAAATTAAATCAGCAGATCCGGTGATTACACCGAACAAACAATCATACGAACTTAACCTCTTATCTAGTATAGAGATGTACAAATGCAACCAACTAAACTAGTTTGCACTGGTATTTGACACTTTCATTATAATATTCAATTTTATAAATGAATGCACATTATTTTCAGACGATGGTAAAAGGCTTTGCAAAAACATCAATCGCACCTTCAATGTAGAGTTCAAGAAATTTTCTGCTTTCGGCATGTTCTCAGTGAACGGGATGCTGCCTACGACATTGGGGTGTCTTGTTGCTACATACACTATTGTATTACTACAGTTTGCTTTCTTGTAATTTTTTAATATACAAATATAATTTACATTTTGTTCTAATTTCTTTGATGTTTAACATCTATTGACGCACTTTGGTAGTAAGTAGTCTATATATTTGGTACTAAAGTACAAAACCGAAAGGTAGGGGCACCATGAGCCTATATCATTCCGTCATACTCCTCTTATTAACTGTTCTAATAATATTAATATCATAGCTGGCTTTTATAACTTCAACTGCCGAAAATGAGTGACTGTCCTTCTAACCGTATATCTGTAGGCTAGTATTATTAATAAGACGTAAATTTGTATTCATTTTTCTTATTCAACAAATCTCTTTATTCTCTTCTATCATTTTTCTCTCTAATTCTTTTTCCTTTTTAGTCTTCAATTGGTTCTGAATTTCTTCAACGCTCCTCATTTTTGTTTCTGGAAGTACCAGGATTACATAAATAGCAGCGAGCAAACATATGATTCCGAAAAAGTAGAACGATACGTGTATTCCCATGGAATTGGCCAACGGTTTGAAGAATAGCATTTGAAGGAAAGCAACCACAGATGCTGCTGCCATTGTCGTCGCCATTATGGTGCCCCGATACTGCAATTCAAATTAGACACTTAAAAAAATATAATACACCAGTACTGTCCGCGTGGAACATATAGTGTACATATGATAGTGTAGCTTTTACAACAATTGTGGCAACGCGTACTTGACGCCTTATCGCCTTACAGCCTTACGCCTTATCGCCTTACAGCCTTATTACACCTTAATATAATCTTATTTAATTAGCCTATGCTGTAGTGAAAACCAGAGGTATATTCATTCCACAATCAGATCTTTCTATAGACATTAACATTTTAAATCGGTCATTGTATCCAATGCGAACAAACAACAATATAAAAATCTGATATTGATTCTTCGTAATATTAGTATAGAAAATAAAGCAAAGTATAAAATGAAATCGTTTCTGCTGTTTGTTCGCTTAGATCTTTTAAACTACGCAACAAATTTTAATGCAGTTTTTAGTAATAGATACGAGTGATTCAAGAGGAAGCTTTAAATGTATATATAATACATGTACACCCGTGCGTATCTGGAGCGGGTAGCAAGAATAATATAAATATAAAACTGTATCTGTCTATCCATTCGATATATTTTCAAGCTTAAAAGGCAGAACATCCCAATAATTGATATGCTATCTATTATCTCAAATATAAGATGGAAATGTCGCGGGTGATAATATCAAGTTCAATATAATCGACAGCATGAAAATATCTATACTTCATGAAAGCTAAAATATTTCAAAAGACCAACTCACCTTAAATGAAAACATTTCTCCATTAAGTATAACAGATATTGGTTGCAAACCCGACGAGTCACAAAATATGCAAACACATAACGTTACTACTGGCAGCCATGCTGGTGCTAGAAGACCAAAGTCACGAGCGACAAACCACGAGGCCAGTGTGCACATACTGAGACCAGAGACGAGTGATGTGATGAAGAGGAGAGGCTGAAAACGTACACAAATCTACATAGTATACAAACAAAATTGCCATCGCTATCTGTACACTAAGATCTTTTAAACTACGCAACGGATTTTAATTCAGTTCCCATTCATAATAGAGTCATAGAAGAGAAATTTTTTTATGTATAACTAGATGTGGCTGCGGTTTCACCAGCTAAGCTGTGACTTTTATAGCCTATATGTTATTCTCATGTACAGGCTATATTACTGTAAAGTTTCATTAAAATCCCTTCAGTAGTTTTTACGTGAAAGAGTAAGAAACATCCATCCATACTTACAAACTTTCAGTTTTATAATATTAATAAGATATAGGAATATTATGGTACAGACAATTAATTATTTGTGTTATTCATACATAACCGAGGAAAATAATTCAAATACACTAAAGTGAAACAGGTGCAGGTCGCTGGTATTACTTAAAATATGTTTTATTTGCTGGCAGCAGATTGAATAGAGTTTTTATGTAATTGATTATTTAGAATAGAAAATCATTTATTCAAATAAACTTAATTTAAGCACTTTTGAACAGTATTAACAATTTGTTTTTTATCTACCACTCGTTCGGAAAGCTGTCTCATCACAAGAAGAACGAGCAAGAAACTTGTGTGTTGCTCTTTTAAATAAGCCTTGTAAGTTTACATTTACAAGTCGAAACGTGTGAATACAAACTACCAACAAGCACTAATTTCTTGGGTCAAATATAAATATAGAATAAGACTAAATCAGTCGTAGTGATAAGAGCAGACCAGAGCAGACCAGATTTATTACTATAACTATAACATTATAAAATATTATGATGTTTTTTTATTCTTGTTTGTTTATCATCAACAGATTATGTCTATAAATGTATACGTGTACGAAGTTGTGAGCATGAATATGAACATACCGTCACGATTGTAATAAATTCCAGAGGGGATAGTCGGAGGCGGACAATGCCTCTGACTACCTGTTGATGTTGTTGTAAACTTAATAGTTGATATGCCTAGTTTTCGCTCGGTATATTCTGAATCCAACGGCAAATGCTAGTGGCTAGTCCACCGCCCTCTCTCGGATTAATTTTTTTGTTTTATATCAGTGTATAGGTACTTTAGCGGAGAGTCAGTCATAATTATAAATTGCCACTCAAAGTTTCATTTTTTTTGGCGAGATTAGTTCAATTGGGCATAATTTAGAGTAGTAAACACATATGACGCTCTAGCATCACCAGTACGATGTATAATTAAAATATTCTATACCTTTCTACCAGATCTTTCAACAATACTGGAAGCGAAACTGGATCCAGCAACTTGCACCGCTCCCAAAACCATAGCTTGTTGATTTGGACTTAACACTAGTCCTGTTCCTTTAGAAGACATGGAGAAGATGTCCCCAGCAAAATTGAGTACCGGCACAGCTCCACATACTTCTCTAGCAAGACAAATCACCATGACTATGCGGTACGTTCTGAACAGTATTTTATCTGTCACTGGAAATAAGAAGTTGTTAATATTAATTTTATAATAAGTTTTATTATTATTGAGTACCAGCTGTCCGCGACTTCGTCTGTGTAAAATATACACAGACGAAATGGCGGGTACAGCTAGTAACCTTAGTCAGTAACCTTGATCAGATATAGAAAAATATTTAATAATCTAACCCATTAAAAACCTCCCCTTTCAACTCCTTAAAACCCTTTTTCGCATTAAAAATAAGCCTATGTCTTTTTTCAGGGTATGTGTATCAAATTTCATTTAAATCGGTTTAGTAGTTTTGGCGTGAAAGAGAGACAGACAGGCAAAGTTATTAATTACTTTCGCAATTATAATATTAGTAAGGATAGTAATAATAGTGGATAATTTTTAAACATATAATGGTAACACTGTTTTCCTAATCATGGCTATCATTGTATTTACAAGTATAAAGTTTCTATATTATTGGCTTGCTGATCAATCGAGTAAATAAAACAAACAACATATTTTTCCACTATAAACCGTTCAGAACTTTACTAAATTATTGTTTAATCAAATTACACTTAAATCATAAAAGAAAATTATTCTTTGTTAAGAAAAGAGGTTAATAATAAAAAAAATTAAAAATAGTTTTCTAAATTGTTCAACAAAACAATGAATTTAAAGAGTCAAACTTAAATCGTAAAAGAAAATTATTCTTTGTTAAGAAAAGAGGTTAATAATAAAAAAAATTAAAAATAGTTTTCTAAATTGTTCAACAAAACAATGAATTTAAAGAGTCAAACTTAAATCGTAAAAGAAAATTATTCTTTGTTAAGAAAAGAGGTTAATAATAAAAAAAAATTAAAAAAATAGTTTACTAAATTGTTCAACAAAACAATGAATGTAAAGTAAAAGAAAATTATTCTTTGTTAAGAAAAGAGTTTAATAATAAAAAAAAATTAAAAAAATAGTTTACTAAAGAGAGAGAGTAAAGAGTCGATAATATAAACAGGACTCTAGTAGAAGAAGCACATCAGAATAATTAGACATTCATGACAAATTCATAATATACTATGAAGAATTAAAGAACTTAAAATGCAAAGTTTAGAAGCATTCTTAAATTCATCATCCTCTGATACTAATAACAATAATTTTATGCTTCAGTTTGGAATCTATAATTCGTTCAGTCTTTAAAATAATTTTATTCTCATTTTGTTTCTCTTTAACTAGTTTGTTTAAAAGTCATAATCATTGCTCTAATTTCCTTTTATGTGGGGTTACTATTTCTCTTTTAATTAAAATCTTATTTAGCTAATATTGAATTAGTAACTAATTATATTTTTATAATCGATATATTATATTGTTTACTTCACTTTTTTCTAAGTAAAAATGTTTTGAATTAATTACAATAATTTTGTAACTATCAAAAACTACGTATTTTTAATACACAGAGAGTTATCTATTGAATGATAAAAAACTCGACGCAAATCAATTGAGCGTATGATGTTGATTGGTCTTGACCTATAACTACAATTGACTTAAAAACATTACCAGCAAAAAATGTCTTCCCGCTTCTTCCTTTAAGCTAAATTATAAAAAAAATATAATCTTCTGTAATTATACTAGTTTATTTTTTGTAGTATATTATGTTATCTTATATATATATCGTTTTAGTATATATTATTTAAGAATGTAGTAAGACATTCGAATGTTATAAATATGAAAGTTGGTTTGCTTATTTGTTATCCTGTTACAACTAAATAAATTTTATATAAATATAGATTGTATCACGTAGAATATATTTTATTCCAAAAAAATAATCTGGAAGGGGTGAAATAAGGGACGAAAAAACAAAAAAACTTAATCGATTCGAGACACATCAGCAGAACAGAAGTTATACAATGTTGCTTTTAAGTGATCGTCATTTCATCCAAGTTGTCTAGAGTTGAGCTAACGACGAATAAAGTAAATACTTTATTTCTATTAAATAATTCGTAAGATCCCTAAAAAAAACAGTTAAAAATACGTATTGTTCATTTGTTATCTTTTAGTGACTCAACTAACCGACATATGACGTACACATAGTATTTGATATGGAAAGGAATTACTTTTTTATGTAATTGAAATATTTGACAAGCTGACGTTCCACCTGGTGATAATTATTTTCACTTAACCTCCATAATGTTACCTGCGTTTTACCCGCGTGTAATTTATAGCCCATTTATTATTCTAATGTATAAGCTTTAAAATATTACTATAGTTACATCGTTCCGTTCATCCGTTCAGTAGTTTTCCGTGAAAGAGTAACAAACATCCATACTCAGAAAGTATCGCGATTATAATATTATTAAGATTAACAATCTACTACATTGTTGCCACATATGCTTCATTACATAGTTTAAAACAAAGTAGCTGTCGCTGTCTGTCCGTCCATATGATAATAGGTAATCATTTTCCATAAATGGGAGTAGCATAGACATCACGATATCATAGTCGTATGTCGACCTTGTTGCCATGCCTTGCCATTGTGGAGGACTATATATTTCATATATCCATACTCTATAATTGCACTATCTTATCTGATCCTATAGCCGAACACATCTTACTATGCAAATTATTCACCGAAACACACATGAATAGTACTTACATATAGCTTTAAGTACAGATTGGCTACTTTCCTCATCATTTCTTAATTCTTGTCTAATTCTCTCCAACTCCTGTTTAATAACAATGTCTTCTTCTTCTCTACATCGTAGCCACGCTAGAACTCTTACTGCTTCCTAAAAAGATGAAACGAAGATATTGTTCTTTGATGTAAAGGATATTATACAAAATATATACCTAGATAAATTAAATTATTGTTTACATTTTCTATATTGCAGGCACAAAAATGAAATTTATCACGATGTTTCCAGGGGAAAAGTGCAGACGTCGACCAAATTTTGAAAGCGAATTACATTGATTTATAACACTTCTTACAACCTCTTATCTCATCCCTAGTCCCAAAATTGTTTAAGAAAATATGGCTAATAAAAGTGTTGCTTCTTGACTTTATCTTTTATAATCCAAAGGTTTTCTCATAACGTCACAGCTATCGCGGGTTCTTTTTTATTTTCTTTGTTTCTTATGTTTGCTTTCGATTACAGATTAGCAATTAAAACAATACTTACATCTATCTTTCCAGTTTTGACCAAGTACGACGGCGATTCCGGCATCATCATGAATAATACAATATGAATAGTTGGCAACGCCATACAAATCCAGAGAACAGTGTTATAGTTGAATACATCGCCAATTATGTAAACGAAGAGATTTCCTGTCGTGTGAAATAAAATTACCTGTAAAATAGGAATATTTCTTAATATCAATTTAGCATGAGTTTTTATAATTATATATGAATATAGATTGTTATTGATACAATAACCACTATATCTATTTGAAAAATTATTAGAGAATTTTATTAGTACCTAATTTTAGTTTTAAATAATAATAATAACCCAGGACAGTTTACGTAGTGCCATCTAGTCCAAGCTAAAATAAAAGAGCTTGTATTACGGGGACTGAACATATGATATAAATATATTTTAATAATAATGCTTAAATATAATTGTAAATACATGTATGTATATTACACTGAGAGTGTATATTACACTGAGAACACTCAGAAAAATACAAACAATCTTACTCGTGAATACAATTGTTTGTATTGTACGAGGAATCGGACCCTCGACTAAGGGAAGTAAGGCGGTGCACTTCGATGCCTGAAGCTGGGACATCTCAAACTAATAATTAAGCAGGAAGCACTAAATCACTGGCATAAAATGCCAGAATTACTACATAAAGCCTAATAACGGGCCACTCGAATCAATACTGTAATAAACTAATGTTATTGAGTAAATTATATAAATAAAAAATGTATCACAATTAAGACAACAAATTAAATAAATAGATGGTAAAACTAGGTATGTGTATGTGCCATATATAACGCCACTACATATCCTATGTAGTAGTGGCTACTTAGTACTCTGTCCTGAGGAAGTAAAAACCATTGCTCCTGAGAATATCCTTGTTCTATATTGATTTTTAAGTCCAGGTAGCGATTTCTAAAAGAAAATGGCGAGCACAATAATCTATGCAGTGCTACAGGTTCTCTTTTAGCACCGAGTCATAGTCAAAATAATCTGCTAGACCTCCGAAACCGTCAAATACATAATGAACATACTCGTAAACTACCTACTGTATGGATTAAAGTATGTAAGAGTTACAACAAGTTGTTGCTATTTATGTTCCTTAAGTAGACAACTGCAATTCAACCAGTGCTAAACTAATAAAACTGCGAATAACTTCAGATTAGCATAGGATGAATACCAGATTAAATTGTGAAAGATATTGTGGAAATCGGTGCAGAATTGAGAAAGATTTTAAATATCAGAAAAAATGATGACATATATCTTCATTACCAGTCTTCTCATAACATAATTCAAAATTTAAAAATCATTTATTCATATACGACATTAGCTGCTTATGGATGTCAAATTTTTTATATTATATTTCTTCCCTACCGTCTACTTCAGTATATAGATCTAATTGAGAATAACTGGCAAGATTCTGAAACTCAATTGAATTAGTTTTTTTTAAAGCCAGTTTATGTACAATGTTTATTTATATAGGTGTCTATGTCTAACTTTAAATGAAAATCCCGTGCATAAACAACTATTGCCATGCACGGTCGTCATTCCAGTAATAATAGGCTTTGTTAAGTAAATATGATTTAACAGATGTTTTATAAATAAACTTACTAAAGATCCCAATGATCCTCTGATACTGTCTTCACTAATTTCCTTGGTATACATAGGACATGTGACGTATGCACCGGCCATTGGAAATCCGACCATAGCTCTTGCTAGAACAAATGCCCAGAACTCCATTGACGATAATTTTACTATCCAGCAACCCTAAAAGTAAATCCTCAATGTCTTGACAGATTCCTAAATATTTTAAATATATTATATGTATCACAATGCAGAAAAACTTAATTTAAATTCTATAACATTATTAGCTGACCCGGAAAAATTCTTTTGCCATATAAATCAAACGCTAGTAAAAAAATAGGGGTTAATGATGGGGCGCAAATCTAGGGTTGTATGTATTTTTAACCAAGCGACTTACCATATGGAACTAATTATTTGCCATTTTAATTACATAAAAGAAATACAATATATAGAATATTTATTATACTTACTGCTGCCATAGCCGATGCAAAAATCATCGCTAGTTTACGTCCGAATTTGTCCGCCGCATATCCCATTAAACAATCAGTCACAATACAAACTAAGTATGGAACAGATCCCATCCATGAAATCTAAAAATAAAATTAATGTTCACATTACATTTTAAACTTTTTTTCTTGGTTGATTACAATCGTACACATATGTTGGTATTTCTTACGGTTGTTTACTTTATTGCATTTGAAAAGAATGAGGCAAGAGATTCTTGTCGGTTCTTCTTGGTTCTACTTTTCGAATAGAAAGTAGCTTTGACTTCTGGAATATTCCGAAACGAATAAAGATATTTCAATCGGATTTTAAATTATATTCGTTATATTGTATCATTAACAGATGCATGATTGTGTAGCACTTTAACATATCACTTTACTTCTGATGGTCGCGGGTTCGATTCTTGGCACGGTTCAACATTTGTATTCTTGAGTATGAATTGTTTGTATTTGTCTAGGTATTCCTATGTGTATTATGTATGTATTTACAAAAAAATGTATGTAAGTATTTCTGTCTAGTTAGTTGTCTAGTAACCACAATACAAGCTCTGCTTAGCTTGGGTCTAAATGACGCTGTGTGAATTATCATTATTATTTATGTATACCTGTATATCAGTCAAGGGCGGTTGTCTGGGTGAGTGTTCCGACTGCAGCAGTACACTCATTGGCGACATCCATCCGATGCTCGCCCCATACGAGAACACCGGGATGTTGACTGTGTGCAACGAACAAATCTTATTACATCGTTTTTTATATAATTTTTATGGAAAACAAGGTGGACCACCTGATTGTAAGCGGTAACTGTCTCCTTTTTAGATGAAAAGCACTATGAATATTACGTTATCGTATTACTCATGTGTTGTCATTCCAGAAGACTAAGATTTCTTGCCTCTTTATCTATAATTTCACTACCTAATCTGCACTGTACAACCGAAACATATCTTACAAAACAAGCTGCTGCAATATCTGCCTGCTAACTCAATCCAGCCACCAAGGCTGGATTGAGTTAGCAGGCAGATGACTTTTTCCAGTCCACCTCTGATAAAATCGTATATATCTTCTCGTAATCATAAAATCGTAATAGATTTATAATTATAATATAGGTGTGTGGAATTTCCTCGAAGTTCGAATGAAGTCCTAGTGTTCGTAGTGTGGTTCGGTGGTAATAAAGGGAAGACAAGATCAAATTATACGGGTCCTGTATGCATTCGCCGAAGTTTATTCTATAAAACACCGACAGACTGAAGTGTTATTCCCAATTAACCTCAAACCAGCCAGCTGACATTTGGAGTTCCATCCCACAAATGATTACAATACTCCATGCACGATCCAGAACTTGATGATTAGTGTAGTCAGAAGCTGTTCCGGCGTAAAAGTTTCCCTTGAAGAGGATGCCAAATTTTTGAGGAGCAGTCGCTGCTTAATCGTCAATTGAGCAACCAAAATTGAAGCTAGAGCTAAGGTTTAGATCTAGCAAATCAAGACTATCGGTTAAAGGTATGGATACACACAGCAAAGTAAAAGAAGAATCGAATTTACTCCGTTTGGCATTAAAGACTGGCCTGCGTCTTGGAAGCATTAAACGCTGTTAGCTCTCCTTTGATACAGCACTCAGAGTCGAGTTGACCCGCTCTACCATATCTTCTCTGAGAGATTGGCTATCAACCTTACTTGCTCATGCATTAGAGACATATCTTTCTGCAATTGTGCTTCTGTAACCAAATATGCCATAGGGAGCAAAAAAGATAGATGCAGAAAGGACAGATCCCTGAGGTACCCCAGCATTGATGGCTATTAGGTGTGAAGAGCTACCATCAACGACGACTTGGATAGTCTTATCATTCAGGAAATTCTCAATCCAAGAGCACAGGTTATTGGCGATTCCAAATAAAGGGAGCATTGATGGCTATTATCGAATGATATGTCAAGTGAAACTAGAGCCTCGCCATGCTTGTCGACACGATGTGTGGCGAATTAGAAGAACACCAGTAGTCTTATCATTCAAGAAATCCTCAATCCAAGTAATATAAAGCATCAGGTTATTGATGCACGATTCCAACAGACCAGACTAAATATAAAACCTTTGTTTGAATGACTTGGTTACGTAGCGTTTATAAAATCTGTTTTTGAAAAATACGAATCTCAGACATTTTAGTACCACAAGCAGGTATTATGGGTTGAGATTGGTTCGTAGCATCCAGATGCAAATTGTTTGCAAAGAAGGAAGCAAACAAATTTGCATTCTCTACTGCAGTGTATGCACTGGCTTGTCTCGTCAAATTTCAATAGAGGAGGTAAAAAAGAACGAGTAAAATTTTGAATTATTGTCTTCTTACACGAAAATAGTCAGATAGTTGGGAATATTTATTTATTTATTTTTAATTATTAAAACGTCAATGCACAAATACATAAATAAATGTATATTATTCGCGGAGCAATGATGAAGACGTGGAAAATAAATAATAGAAAGACACGATTAAAAAAAAATTGCATAAAAGGGCATGAACCTTCAGTCTATAATAAGGGCGTAAATAAAAAAAATACATAAATAAAATAGCGGACTTAACACCTTGAGGCATTTTCTCCCAGTCAACGATTGGGTAAACAGAGATTCATGTGGGCGGTGCATTATCAGAATTTGAAATTCAAATGTAAAAAAAAAGTCGACAACTTTAATGTGATTAAATATAAATACATGCATATACGAACATATTTATATACCTACTATTACATATATATAATATACAATTACACATATATTAATTATTTCTAAATGTAACTACCTACATACATACAATTACAATTATAAAATTATAAATTTCAATTCAAAAATCAAAAGTAAAAGGTGCATAAAGGAGATGGTGTAGAGGAATATATTAAATATCAATGATAACGCCCTATCTTATACACTTTAAATTAATCAATAGGAATATATAATATACTGTTATATACTTACTAAGCACAACACATAACAATTGATTGACTTTACTGCCTTCAGCGAAAAAGAAGTTGTATTTCTTCATTTTGTATAACTCATTAACATGTATTTGAATAAATGTTTAAAGTATTTATGTTGTATATATTACTTATATTAAGTATATAATTTTCACGTTATATTTACATTGTATATAGTGTAAAAAAATCTACTATATTTATCTAATGCGACGTTGTTGGTGCTCTCAATCGAATGAACTACATTACTATATATGATACATTGTGTTTAAACTAATTTAAGTCTATGCAAACAAAACTGTCGCGAACGTTCTTAAATCAATAGAACAATTCAACAGACAACAAGATAAATATAGAAGTAGTAAAAATAATAAGTGACGTCTTGTGATAGATTTTATCGTGTCTCTATTTAAAGAAAATATATTTTTTGTGTAATTAGAATAGCTACGCTGACGGCGGGACACCTAATGGTGAGTGGTAACTGACTCTAATATACATAAACAGTACCAACGGTATCACATGATCATATGACGCCCATACTTCTAATGCGTTACTATTCCGGAGATCTAAGATGGCTCATATCCTGTGACTTCCATGATTTATCTCTAGGCTTTAATAGAAACACATCTAACAGAGCAAGGAGGTAGACGACTGGAATAAATGACACTGAAGTACCCTTTTACGAAGTCTATATCAATGGTAATATTAGTTGAAATTGACGATAAAAATACATATATATATATGTAGCACGTATTGTAGCAATAAGGTATACTACATTATAATATACCTCAAGACTTAGGCATGAGACGTGAGGCCTGAGGCTCTGATTCGGCCGTAAGCACAAGAGCAATATAACCTTTATTACATACTTAACTTTTACTCTTGTCTTTTCTTGAAATAATGTTTATTACTGACTAATTAATTATTCATACTAATATAAATTCAAAAGTTTTATTCATAAATATAAAGTAATTTTATAAATTCTGTCTGCTGTCTTTTTACTTCAAAATGGCGAAACTGATCTTAAATAAACATTGACAAATAGACGTGTTTAGTCGTGAAAAGGTTAGAAACACACAGACAGACTGTTGCATTCACAATATTTGTATGGATATATATGGTTGTTGGCAAAATCAGTTTTAATTGCACCAACTGTAGTTAAATATAGCAAATATTAAAGCAAATAGTTGTAGATAATATACGTACCTACGTGCTCATAATTTACTCTATATTTATATGAAATTATATCTATTATTAAGTAATTAAACTATTTAATAATTTTGTTCGTGCAAATATTTTTTAATTTACAACGAACAAATATATATTTACACATTATATAATAATAATAACTCTGGACAATTCACACGCGATGTTCTAGTGTGTGTTATCGGTACTAGATAATACATAAAAATACATATATACATCTTTTTTAAATAAATACATACAAAAGTACATAGTAAACACCAAGATCAAACAATCATACATATTAATACAAATGTTTGTATCGTACAAGGAATAGAATCTGCTGATAATGATTTTTTAAGACAAAAAATTGCGGATAATTTTCAGTATTTTATTTTTTACACACACACTGACCTACCTTATAATTATTATTATTAAAGTCTTATCAGTTAGTCAGGAATACCCGCTTTTCCATAAGTCTATCCACGGGTTTGGAGTGCCGTCTGAACTCGGCCTCATTTTCGTGCGGTGTAGCTGCAAAGGACATCTACGGTCAACAGTATTAGAATAGTTAAAAAAAAAGGCATAATTCAGATTATATACAAATTAGGCAATTTAGAGAAGTCATACAACCAAAAGATTTTGGTGTCAAGCTATAGTATAATCATTCATTAGGATATATAACGAGTATGACGGCCTCGGTGGTCTAGCGGTTTAGCACACCCCATTACTTCGCGATGGTCGCGGGTTCGATTCCTCGCACGGTACAAACGTTTGTATTCATGAGTTTGTATCAGTCTTGGTATTTTCTAATTATAATATATACGTATTTACGAACAAAAAATCTATGTATTTGTATCAGTTGTCTAGCATCCATAAAAGAAACTTTAGTTAGCTTAACTTGAGTATATATGGTGCTGTGTAAATTGTCCTGAGATTTATTATTATTATTATATAAATCGAAATTGTAACAAAACTGTTTGATACAGTACGCGCCATGTTACAGCGTGCGGAGTCTATCACGTGGCAACTGCGGGAGTTTTATGATTTTATTTGTAAAAGTCTGCAAGCAGATGTTAAGTAAACCTTATATAATTTCTAGCAGTGGCAAACAGACGGCCTATTACTTAATGATTATTTTTTATGTTATTTAAATAGATAATGGAGTGGATCCTTTTTTTAATTTGTGGAAAATTCTAACTATAATACTACTGACTATAGTTAGTAAATCACGGGATCTTACCACGTTTCATATTTATTGGGTTCCCGATATTTCGGCAGTGTTTCAACCGCCATGATCACGGGATCAGTTTACCCGTGATAAAACGTGGTAAGATCCCGTGATTTATTAACTATACTTATAAATAATAACCGCGTCAAACTTAAAACACTATACTACTGACTACTTACTGAGAAAAGCGAATGAGATCGTAGTATGTTTTTGTGCAACAAAATTTATACCTAGATAGATTTTGTAAAATATCGTAACCAAAGACGTTTCGTCTCTTTCTGTCTCACCGCCAAGCAGCTTACTTTATAAGATATACTTCGGTTGAAGGGTGAGTTAAAGCAGGGAGACAGGCTATAGCAATGTAGTCCTCCAGAATGGCAAATACTGAGAGGTGCCACGGGCGGTGATGACATCCGTGGTGCTATTCAGGTATATAGTCGACTGTTGCCATTGCCAAATGGGCCATTAGTTTGTTTGCCATTATTAAATAAAAAAAAGTATACGATGAATTGGTTTCCTAATTATATATATGGTATTACTCAAAAGGTCGTGAGATTAAATCTGACCGACACACAAAAAAGAAAGTTATGTGTAATTTTATATTTCTGACTGACTTTCCGGTGAAGTGAACACCGTTAACAAAACGAAGAGAGACAACGGTAGGCGTCAGCCAACCGTTGTAACAACCCCTCTAGGGCTAACAGTCGTGATAGGTTGTCGTGTTTAAAAATAACGCCTTAAGTTAGTATAGAAATGAGAAACATTATTTATTTCTTTATTTCTTTTTATTTCATTATCTACGTTTCAGTGGCATAGACTTCCATTACAGTACACAGACAGATAATTATATTTATTATGTATTATAAATGAAATCAACTGTAAACTAAACTTTATTACATTTCAATTTAAACACATAATAGATTAACCCATTTATAGCTATTACAACTACACGGTTTTGACAAGCTAATTTCTACGTCCAGAAACCTTCCATTTTTAAATGCAGCGAGCGAGTATAATAAACTAAAAAAAACTCACTTATAATTAAATTAAAAAAATAGAATAGTCTCATCCGTTTGTATGCATCGATGTAGAAAAAATAAATAAAAATATTTGTAAGACAAATTATCTAATTATTTACAACACTTAAACTAATTCAAACAATAAATAAAATGTACGAACAGTCTGAAAATAAATTAATTTAAATCTAGATAATATAGCGTCATTTTGTTTAGAAAATTGTTATAAAATATCATGAACATCAACTGGGGCGATAGTGGAATATACTTTTGTACTTTTTTTATACATTGAAGGTGGAAAACAATATACGGCCCGCCTTTTGAAACATTTTTGCCCCTAAATTCTCAATATATAATTTATTGCTAATTAATCGAGGTATTGCCACATAGTGAATTTTCCCGACTTTCCAAATATAAACATTACAAATAGGTAAAGTTTTTGAGATTGGCTGTTCGGAGTAATCTCCGATCCTTTTTCTTCTTACAATTCTTTTAGTGTTGGATAGTCCATTTATTGAGGGAGGCCAATTGATAATTTTTATTACCATTTGTATTTAATCTAATCTTCAAAACAATTAGACATACATTAAACTACATTATGATAGTGTAATATAGGTTAGGTATATTTTAACTTAAATAATATCGTATTTTATGAAAAAGACTGAAAAAACCAAAATCAGTCGCATTAATATTAACTCTAAAAACTTTTTTAAATCGGTTGATAAATAATGTGATGCTGCTATAATTGGAGCCAGGCTAAGCCGTGCAGGTTTATTGTATTTAATGTAGCAAGTATATAATGTACTAGGTACACATAGCTGTCAGAAGTCACAACGTGGCAAGAACTCTGATTAAAATCACAATAAATGTAAACAATGACCGAATTACATATAAAAAAGTCAATAAATATTATTATACATACAATAAATAATCCTTATAATATAAAGTTAATTGGAAGACATAGTTAAGATAGGCTTAAACCCGTTTGCACTAAACTTAGATAATATATTATAATATTAAACTAAGAAGTAAAGTTTAGATGATCAGGTTAATCGGCAGTACTGATCCAATTTCGAATTCCTTTAGTGTTGATTAGCCCATTCATCATGGAATACTATAAGGTATATAACATCACGCTGCGACCAATAGGAGCAGAGCTGAAATGCATATTGTTGCAAACTTAGTAATCCGCTTAGTTAGTTCAGTAACTATTAGTATTTAACACTACCAAGCAGTCATAAATATATAGAAGTTATATTTAAAAAAGGAGATGTGTTCATTGAGTTTAGTACAAACGGAGTTAGGCATAAAGTACATATACTTTTATGCTTATAAAAAGGGGTTGGCACTAATTAAATTGGGTAGATTATCATACGATATGAGTTAAGCGAGATATCGACATGACTCGAGTCGATTATAGTCGATTTAGTCTATCGATATAAATAGTTTTTCGGCTCCTCCGCTATGGGTTCTGTGCATGTGCCCAAATATTTCAGTTGGACCAAGCTTCTGTAATAGAAAAAAAAGATTATTATTAATAAATTGTTTATATGATATTGGACTAATATTCCGATATTGTAAATGTGAAAGTGCATCTCTCTGGCTGAAATCTTAAAGGAACACTGCACAACATAAGTGAACTAACACCACCTGGTGGAGAAAACTTGAACAAAATGCAGGCGTACTTCCGGCAAAAAGTGATGTAACATCCGCCTCAGTGCCGAAAAATAGCATAGCTAATCTTATTCACAGGCCTTAAATTACGGTATAGAAGCTCCCCATACTCCGATATTTCAATGCTGTTTCAAACGTCTTGTTCACGAGTCGACTTAGAATTCTTACCTAGACCGGCAATTCTCCATCTCCAGGAAGCACTTGTTGGAGTAGGTCTTGTCATCAGTGCCGCAGACGGGGTCGTATTCAGGGGGGCACACTCTGGCACACCCCGAGTATTGGAAGCGGGACAGGCAACGCTTCAGTGGCACTACGAATACGTGTTTACTGCGGAAAGAGTAATGACTGATTGAACGATTCAATGAATGACTGAGTGAATTAATTATTGCATGAATGGTTTATTATCGGATGCACTGTGTACAATAATTAAAAGATAAAATTATGCCTATGAAAAAAACATTTTATAGCGAATTTATTTGCCATGAAATACTATATCGTATATTTCTTAATCTTATTATGTATACACGTTAGTCCCTACTACAAATAAGATTAAAAATAAAAGTATATTTATTTAATGATAAAATTCCTTTATTTTTTAATATTGTATACGTCACTCACGTCGTTCACGTTAACTGCTTTTTGAATAAGCGGTAGAGTTAAAAATTTTTGTATGACTATTCAAAAGTGCTTATATTAAGTTTATTTTAATAAAGATTATTTGTATTCTATTCTATTCTAGACCCATTTTACAGGGAGGGTTACAGAGCTTATGTAAGCTATTGTCAGGTGAAGCTGCAGTGCAATTGTAATGCATTGTATTTGGTGCTGTTAATGACTCGGTAGTGATGGGATTATGACTTTGTTACAACGTCGCTGGAGTCAATACTGACTCTCTGTGATTACATTTGTACAGGGAATTATTGAGGAGATCTTTGTACAAAATCATATATGTGAGAACTTCTGGCTTTCCTATTTCAATCACCAAGCAGGTTGCTTAGCAAACATTGTTTCAGTTGAATGGCGAGATAAGGCTATCAAATACAGGGTACGGAGGCATGACATCGTAGTTCTCCGGAATTTATTTATTTAGGACCAACAGTTTGAGGTGTTTCAATTAGAATACTTATAATAGTTTTAAATTAACTATTATTGTAAACCCAACAAACATGATTACAGATTATATTTGGGTACTAAAATATGTAAGTCTTATATTTTAATATACTTTTATTAAACGCATAAAAACCAAAAATCAATGAATGGGTGTACATGAGGTGTACGGTCGTCAGCCGATGATTACCAAATATCATTAACTTGTCTGCCATTCTATAAAGAATCAGGTACTTCTACAATTTTGAATACTAACCCACAGTTTTCCTTCTTCATCAGACACTCATTTTTGTAAAACCTATTGTCTGAACCGCAAACGAAGGCTGGCGTGCTGGGACATGACTCATGGCACAGAGCTGTAGTGCGACAGTGGGCGGCTGAAACTGCTACCACGTGCTGACCACACGTAAGTCGACGAAGCTCGCATTCAGACCTATAAAATGTAAAAGAGGAAGGTTGTGTATTATAACACAAATATTTTAGAAAAGGAAGATAGATCAAGTACTTTATAGTAAGTCGCATGCGTAGCTACTTTTATCACACCAAACCGATCTTGCATTCGGATCTACAATGTATGAAGGAGGGAGGTAATCAATTGTTCCACAAGTGTTTTACAAAGGAAAGAGTTGTTAGTACAAGTACTTTATAGGAAGTCGTCTGCGTGGTCAACTCTGACTCCACAGTTTCTAAACAACCCTTGTATTCAGATCTACAAGGAGTAAGGGGAGGAGTAATGTACTGCAGAGAATTTTTAAAATATAAAATATTAATAGTTTCTAGTATTCATAGTCTGTACACATTAACTTCGTAAAGACACTTTTGGAAGCCGATACGGAGCAGGATAGGAAATGTCGGGAAAATAAGTCTGGATAAGGCGTGATACTGTTGTTATTTCTTCTTATTCGATTCGCTTTTGTCAGAACAGTCGTGGTCATTATGTAGTAGAGTGAGAGATGTTATTTATTAATATCTTTATATTGGTTTTTGTAATTTCTTTATATTTTATTTATAATTTATAATTTTCTTTATATTGTAATTAAAATATATAAATAAATTGTTCAATAATAGGAAGAAAGATAGTATTTTTCACTTATACTAAAATGGTACCTCTGCCTCATGAATTTTTGCCGTCAAGCAGCTTGCGTTGCAAGTGGAGGATGCGATAAAGCAGTACAGTGCACGTAGACATAACTCCTTAGCCCTCTAGAATGGCAACGTACATGCCGACGTAATCATCGCCACTTTCCATCAGGTGGATATCAGCTTATTTGCTGTACCAGTTTGAAAAAAGTTGATACAGCTATTACCACTTTTGTGTTCTTAAGATAATAGTATTTTTTTTATGTACATACTTGTAAACATTTCCATCAGATCCACAAACAGGTTGTTCTACTGCGTTATCACAATTATCCTGACAATCTATTTCAAGACGCGGCAGCAGTGTGCAGTTACCGAAGTGGGCTAATTGAACTCCTTTGCTGTAAAAATAAATTCCAATTTATAAATATTCACACGGAAACTTATTGATAAGAAAATCCTTAATTAAAAATATGAAATGTCCAAAAAAGATAAGTGTAATGCTACAAAAAGTTGTCAGATCTCGTAAACCAGTTATTTTAAATAGGTATTATCTGTGGAAGCGTATGTCCAATATTTATGTTATTAATTGTTACCCTTTTTTTAATCGATTATCAACCTTTATGACTTATCTAATCTGAACTTATTCCGTTAATAATATTAGGCCTTACCCATATTTTCATAATAATTATAATGACTTCGCAATTATACAGCATCTTACCGAAAAAGAAGTATAGAATGAATGTACTGTGTGAAAGATAATATGACAAGAATAGAAGTGAATAACAATAACTTTGAACAAAGATGATTGGACGAGATAAACTTTACGCCGATCCTAAAATATATGGGGTAATAAATAAAAAATGACGATAATTGATAATTTGTCAGACGGCCTCGGTGATCTAGTGCCTTAGCACATCGTCTTACTTTCGATAGTCGTGGATCGATTTCTCGCACAAAACAAACATTATATTTATAAGTATGAATGTTTGTACAGATCTGGGTGTTAAAACACCTACACCGAAATTCTTGTGCACGTCATATTTTTTTATCACTGTCCCCACCGTCCAATAGAGCTGTACCACTAAATAGCGCGGTTTTGTTTTTATTGGCCAGTGTTGTCATAATTATATTCTTTATTAATTTATACTTACAGGCATGTAGCAACCTTGAGATGGCAGGAGTTTGTATACACGTTAGCATCAGTACCACACACTGGGTCAGTTTCACTGGGACACTTAACCTTCAGACACTTGTTCATTTTACCACGACACTTCTCCATATCGACTTTCTTCACTATTTTCCTGCTACTGACACTGAAATTTAATAAACAGTGTGTATTTAAAGTGGATGGGACGACCATCACTACGATATGATATCCGTAGTTCTGTTTATGTATATCTATATACTAGCTGTCCCGGCAAACGTGTTTTGCCATATAAATTAATAACGCTATAAAAAAATAGGGGTTGCTGATAGAAGGGTGAAAATTTAGGATTGAATGTATTTTTGTATGTTGTATCATAAAAAAACTAAAGATTTTGTCTAAAAAATAATAAAAAAAATCCCTAACATTTAGGGGGATGAAAAATAAATTTTGGCCGATTCTCAGATCTACTCAATACGCTCACAAAATTTTATGAGAATCGGTCAAGCCGTTTCGGAGGAGTATGGGAACGAAAACTGTGACACGAGAATTTTATAATCATCATGAAATTTTGTACCTACACATGTTCTTGGAGTTATTAGAATAAATATAAGCTACTTTTTATTTAAAAAAAAAACAGAGGAGCAAGTTGAAAGGGGATGGGATCCATAGTCTTATTAGCTGTTAATAAAAATATACATACCCACAATTTAGCATCTTCATCTCACACTCGTTTCTGTAGATATTCTCGTCTGATCCACAAACCAGTTTCTCCTTTTGTCCAGAACAGTCAGTAGGGCATGATTCACCACCTGAGGTCCTTTCTTGCGATACACAGAAGGCCATAGGTACTTCGAACACGTGTTTTCTATTTCACAAAAAATAAGCATTAATAAATTAAAGAACAACTAAACATTTCTATGATGATGAGTATACAATTTTTTAAGTACTATTAAGTAGTAATTTTTCGAGTGAAATTTATATAAAGGCGACTGCGTCTCCCCTGTTGTAGCCGTCAAACTTGACGGACTTTGTAAGATGTGTTTCAGTAGAAGAAAAATTACAGGGTATGGGCATGACTTTTATTGGGCTTCCATAATGGTGACGGGTGAGGGACTCGGTTCGATATAGGCGATGATTGCAATTTGTTATGAGGTTATTTACCATTTCAGTTACATACAAAAATATATGAATATTTTTAGATCCATGTAGAATTTTTATGCCATATATTCCGTTATATTATTAACACTCTAAGTTATTTATCCGTTATAGCTAACAGGGATCCCATTACTAGCAATGTATGATGTCAAGTCGACCTCCACAGGCTCCTCGCTGATGACCATCTAACTTATTTCTCAATTTGCAACGATAGGATAATTAACCAGGCTAATTCAGTGGGTACACCATTCTAATATCACCTTTTAAAAGGTTTAGGCTTACTTTATGAACCAGCAAGTCAAGGAGAAATACTACTAAACGTAGTTAAAAAAAACAAACCCGCAGTTAGTAGCCTTCATCCTACAAGCATTAGCATACAGTTTTCCATCTGAACCGCATGTCGGTCGCGCAACACGCCAGCACGATTCACGACAGTGGCGGGTTGTCTGACAGTGTTTCTTGCTGGTACGAACCACACCTTGCCTGAAAAAAAAAACTCGTTATAAATCAATAAGTGAGATAACTGGATGAGAAGGGCTGAAGATCGTACCCAGTGGCGTGCCTTAGGAGAATGTCACAGGGGACTGCAGTGTCTGATGATGATGATGATGATGAAATAAATAAGAAATACAAAACACTCTAGACAATTCACACAGTGTCATCTAGTCTCAAACTAGGCGTAGCTTGTCTAATGATATGAATGATATTAATATATTATTTTGTTGATGATATTGTTTTAGTCTAATGATAGCTGGCTCGTCCGTCTTACACGTGAATGGCAGCTACTTGTGTGGACTGGGATGTTCAAGTTATAACTGCTGATTTAATGATTCTATTTTTCGGACATTAGTTTAATAGCAAACGTATTTAGACTAAACGTAAGCTTTTATATGCAATAATATAGCTAAGTCACAGCTAACAAAACAATGCTTATATCTTTTAAATTACGCAACGGATTTTAATGCAGTTTTCAGCAATAGATATAGTGATTCAATCGATACATGCATGTTATAATATAATAATTAATATGTGAAGCAAAGACTTTATAGCATTTTTACGAAAATTAAAAGAAAACATTACACACACTATCATGTATTTGACACCTACGAATACATTGCATTCAGATTCGTGGGTCGGGTCCACTAGGTGAATTTGTGTGGCAACAACAATTGATACTGTTTTAGTTTTGCGGCTTAATTTGAGTATGTTTCGTTCAGTTACCGTAACTGATCCCTCTATTGTTTGCATATACGTCGTTGTCCAGAGTAAACAATAACCTATGTCCTTCTCTATTTCGCATGCCTATTGCTCGTTAATGTAAATCTACTTAAAACAACATTTATTTAAAAGAGCAACACACAAGTTAATTGCTCATTCTTTTTGTGATGAGTCTGTGTTCCGAATGAGTGGTAGAATAAAAAATAATGTGACTATTTAAAAGTGCTTATATTAAGTTTTTGAATAAAGATTACTATTTCTATCCCAAATTCTGGGCATATGTAAAATTTAGTAATGATTGGCTTATCCATAAAATAAAGTATTTCAACTTATCGTTTTTAATATTAAAGTACCAGGATACAATAAACTATCAACAACTTACCCGCAAGTCAAAAGCTTCATCTGACACGTGCTCTTATAAACATTGCCATCTGAGCCGCATATAGGTCCATCAAGAGGCGCCTGTGAGCAATCTACTGGACAATTCTCTCGGTGCGCGCTGATATTGTTACAAGCTCCCAAATGTGACAGTCCAATGCCGACTCTGTAATTATTTACAGTAAAACTTATAATTGTAAAAACATAGGTTCCGAGGGCTATGTGTTTAAAATTAATTAATGTTATTAATTGAATCAACTAGTGACTACAACTTGTAACCATAAATATTTAGGCATAATTATTTGTAACTAATGGAATTATTCATATCAACATTTCTAAAATTAATTGATTTAAACTGGTATTTTGGTTTCAGTTATGTGAATATTAAGTACTTTTATACAAAATCATAAAAAGACTTTCCTTGTTTTCTGGCAAGTAATATATACATATATACACACGGTGCTGCTCGCCAGTTCTCTTACTTGAAACTCGGCTTGACACGCTACCGCGTGTCTAGATATTGATAATTACGTTCTCGACATAAGAGATCTGTTAATCCTTATTATTTAATATTATAAATGTGAAAGTAGGGATGTTTGTTACGATTTCATGCAAAAACTACTGAACCGATCATCATGAAATTTTGTACACATGTTCTTGGGGGCATTCGAATGAACATAGGATACTTTTTATTTAAAAAAAAATATTTTTTATAAAAAACTATAAAACATAATATCAACATTTTGCTACTTTTGCGAAATCTAGCAGCCAGTAATGAAGTTATTTAATGAATTCAATGCGAGCGAAGCCGCGGGTAAAAGCTAGTACCTATATAAAACGAGGATTGTTATAATTAATGCAAAGAGTCATTAGGTGTTTGATAACAAGCAGCTACTTCGTACCTGCAAATCTCGACTTGGAGCATGCATCTGTTCAAGTAAGTCCGTCCGTTGGTGCCACAGACTGGGTCCCGTTCCGAGGTACACCTGTGTTCGCATTTAGATCCTTGTGCACGGGAGCAGGAACCCTGGTCTTGAGCAAGTCGTACACCTGAAAGTTATGAAAAAAATATTTTATTTGTGTAAAGTTTCATTACAATCTCGAAACATCATCTTTTTTTAATGTGATACTGCATACACTTCGGAACAGTAGCCTAATTACATAACATCATGTTTTTTTTATACTGCTACTATGGATGCAAATAAGTATGTAAACATATTTAAAAATACATTACACACGTAAAGAAAAAAAATAAATTTTATTAATTTAAATTTTAACCGCGCGACTACTGTAATTATTTATTTATTTATTCTTAAAAATACATTAACTGAGTTACAATTATCACTAATTTAAACTCATACAATAACACTATCAATAGAAAGAGAGATGAATAGAAATATTATGTAAATTATAATTACGTACCTTTTCCACAAGTCTTTTTCCTCATCTCACAGAGGGAAGGGTAGATGTAGCCATCTGTCGCACAGACAGGCTCGCCCTGCAGCGATGGTCCACAGATCCTCGGGCAGCTTGCATCACGAGCGCCGTCGCACAACGTCACTGCTGTAAATAAAAAAAAACTAATTAAAGTGACCTCCAGTGCTGCGAAAAGTACTACTCTAAACTCTACAGCTGACTTTTTTTTAATCTTACATTTATTTAGGGACTTTTGTCATAATATGATAATGCTGTAAATAAAAAAAAACTAATTAAAATGACCTCCAGTGATGTGAAAAGAACTCCTCTAAACTCTACAGCTGACATTTTTTTAATCTTACATTTATTTAGGGACTTTTGTCATAATATGATAATGCTGTAAATAAAAAAAAACTAATTAAAATGACCTCCAGTGATGTGAAAAGACCTCCTCTAAATTCTACAGCTGACTTTTTTTTAATCTTACATTTATTTAGGGACTTGTCATAATATGATAAGGCCTTTACCAATTACTAATCTTATCTTCTACTATACAGCTGACTTATATGGTACTTCATTGTTATGTACAGTGAAGTGCCTCGCAAACGTTTTGTCCTGTACATTATATATCGTTATTACAAAATAAAGCTTGGTGGTAGAAGGGTATAAATTTATGGTTGTATGTATTGTTTTAAGCTGATTCATAAACGAATTAAACTGAATAAAATTGTAAAAATTATACAAAATATTTTTTTTCTAAAATTAAATAACATCTTATTGTCAGACCTACCGAAATATAGATATAAAATCTATTAAGATATAATTGAGAAGTATGGCAACTAAAATTGTCACATAATAATTTTATATACATATATAGAAGACTAGCTGTTCCGGCAAACGTTGTTTTGCCTTAAAATAAAATAAAAAATTAGGGGTAGACTTTAGGGGGATGAAAAATAGATGTTGGCCGATTCTCAGACCTACTCAATACGCTCACAAAATTTCATGAAAATCGGTCAAGCCGTTTCGGAGGAGTATGGGAACGAAAACTGTGACACGAGAATTTTATATATAAGATATACCGCCACAACTATTATCATATTTAGAGGCATATTTGGAGTTATTATCAATTGTAATGATGAACGTAATTCGACGTTCCCACTTTTCGCGGGATATACTTCTATCCAACGTGATAATTAACGATTCCACTATAAATTGCCACACAAGTTTTGTATGCTTCGATCAGATTTGAACACACGACCTTCTGGATGTAACACAGTATAATAAACCACTAGACCACGATACACCCATTAGGTATTCTACCCACCATAAAAAGATTCATCAAATGCAGATTATAAAAAAAATTTCATTAATGTATCCGCTATCAGTTAGAACCATCGTTAATTCCAGGCTTTAGTTCTTTGTGAGTTAGAAAACACTCACCGCTAGAGGCAGTGACCACGAAAACCCATTAGCGGATTACACCAACACGCAGTCCGGGTACAGCTAGACATAACACGTCGTTTAAATCTAGACTCAATCTAGAACCAGAATCCTCTTTTAATTTCCCAAAAACTTCTATACTTCCATAAATATGGAAGGGTGTCTGTCTGTTTGATTATTACTTTTTTATAACTAAGCGGTTAAACGGGTCTTAAATAAATTTAACGTGAAAATAGATTGTATCACGAAGATGGAGATAGGCTATTTTTTATCTCAAAAAATCAGACGATGTCACATGAAGTAGCTAGTTCAATATGATCGTGATATTTTTGTTTGTAAGTTAAGGTTTCAAGTACAAACGGATAGCGGAATTCAAATTTTCAAAGAATATGTCGTCAAATATGTATATATGGCCTAAAGAAAGATGAATAATATAGAGTGGTATTTAGAGAGGTGAAATAATTTCTTTATAATTTCGATGAGCTAAACTTTTATTTTACTTACATACTAGATAATAATATTTTTATTCATATTCATAATATTCTTGTAATGTATGTATTTCCAATTGGGAAATATAATATTTAATAGGACAATAAAGATAAATGATAATCCAAAACCAAATCTATTTTCTATTAGGTAGAACAATTAATGTAATACTTTCAAATATTCGATTCTTGTATGTAGTATGTAGTATATACACTTGAATCGAATATGTATATTAATTAATAGTTAATTTTAAACTTTCGTGTTTAATATAAATTATTTAAATTATTAACCGGGTCTTAACACGAATAATTTTATGGCAAATAAAGGTATTTACCTCTCTCGACGTTTCGAGTAGGTTGCACTAGCCCTGGTCACGAGCTGACTGGAGTAACAGCGATGTCAATGTAGAGAGAGGTAAATACCTTTATTTGCCATAAAATTATTCGAGTTAAGACCCGGTTAATAATTTAAATAATGTATATATTAATTAATCTTTACTTTATACCTATAATTAATCTTTTATTTATATATAGATAGTACTGTATACATCTGATAGGTATGTTTATATTTATCAAATTACTTAATTTAAGTCGTAACTTACACTAAAATCATCATATAATATGTATTTTTTATAAGTATGTAGTTACTATTTACGATGGTTTCGGAATGCAGTTGCAACTATGCATCATCTCGTTCAATAGGGATATGACCCAAATACCACCTCCTCAAGGGCAGTGGGGTGCCAGGACCTTTGTGTACCAATTGTTATCTACTGACGTCTATAATAAGTAGTAACAATTGGTTTTCTAATAAGCTTTTTTAGTAACTGGAACGACAAACAATCTGACGGTGACTTGATGGTAAGTGGTAACCGTCGTTTATATAATAACTAGCTTTTAACCGCGGCTTTGCTCGCATTGCATCCGTTGAATAAATGTCGGATATCATTACAATATAAATTAATCAATATGATGAATATACCAATAAATATATGATTTAGAACTTCATTACTGTCTACTAGGTAGAGCTGAAGTAGCAATATGTAAATATTTTTTTATTTTCTAAAAAAATATTTAATATATTTAAAGAAAAAGTATCCTATGTTTATTCTAATACCCCCAAGAACATGTGTACAAAATTTCATAATTATCGGTTCACTAGTTTTTGCATTAAAGTTTAACAAACATTCCCACTTTCACGTTTATAATATTAGTAACATATAACAGGAATCATAATTATTCGTCTCAAATAAAAATTAATCTTTAACTCCGAAGGAGCAGCTAGTCCACCCTCTCTCTGCTATTTTCTTATAGCCTATATTAGTAATTTAATATAATAGGAGATCGATGACGACGATAGCACTTAAGTTCTAAAATACTACTACTAACAATAAAAATTGACAATAACTTAACAAGATTATATAAACTAATCAAATTATATATAATACTAGCTTTTGCCTGCGTTAATTTATCCCCTTAGGGGTGGAATTTATCACAATCCTTTCTTACGGGATGCCTACGTCATAACATCTACCTGCATGCCAAAATTCAGCCCGATCCGTCCAGTGGTTTGGGCTCTGTGTTGATAGATCACTACGTCAGTCACCTTTGAGTTATATATGTTTAGATATACAACATTCCAAAAGACTAAGAGATTGTCTTTTTACTTTGTAATTTTAATTGCCACATCTTACAGAAACACATTTTACAAAGAAACTACTTTGTGGCTCGCTGAATATGGCCAGATATACGCATGCTTTGCTCAAAGTTTTTCTTTAGTTAAAAGAACTGGAGTTGTTTCATTTCCAAAGTGTGTAATTTTTATATATTGTATATTTTAGTCGTGAAGTTATGTTATTAATATAAGTATATGTTCAGCTTTCTTACGACACAGTTTGAAAACAGTATCAGCACGTAACATTGACATGTTTTTATACAAAAAGAAATTAACATATAAATTATACGGTATTGAAACGCACGTGTTCAAATAAAAACAAACGGGCCCTGTGCGTCAAATTATAGCTATTTATCTGATGTCTCAATATGTAATTGCCCTGAAAAATTATTTATTATTATATTATATCACACCTTAATAATAAACTGCATTAATTATAAAATTTTTAAAATCGAATACTCGTTTTGATATTAGTTCTAATTTCGAAAACTAGTAATAATTGAGAGAATATCATTTATTTATTATATAAAGCCTGCGATATCTTTTAAGAAATTAATTTTATTTATTAAACAGCAAACAGAGCGTCGTGTCCTAGTTCCTAGAGTTCGAATTTTACTAGTGTTTGAATTTATACATGCATATGCGTAATATACAATAATAATAATCCTTGAGTCCGTCAAGGTTACACATGCCATCTTGCTGTCACTCCCCTTCTGGAATAACAGTCGTGAAGGTTGTTATTTATTGCAATAATTTTATTGTTATATTATTCTATTTTAAAATAATAAAAATTTTCCAGTACAGAGGTTTAATTATTTTCAGTCCCATCAAAACGAAGTACCAGGCCACCATAAAAGCGTGGGGGCTATTATGATGTGTAATCAAACAAATTGTGTGTAGTTATCACTGGAAAGCAAGGGCTCGTACAGACAATATCAAGAAAATACAGTGAAGATATTATCTTTACCAATTATGCAATCTTAGTACTCGAGTATTTGTATAAAATATTTTAGTAATGATTTTTTTACTATCTGCATGCGGAGTAGATTAGATCTTGATTTTAAAGACTACCCATAACTCACGTAAGTTTAGGGTTTAATTAAATACAATAAATAATGTTAACAACTATATATTAAGTGTTATATGGTACTGAAATTGTCGCAGACACACTGATATGCTTATTTCTACTATGGACAAACTGATCTCATGTATCGTCATTGGGAAACCTGCTATTGCACTAATCCATCACTTCCATTTTTTAAAAGACTATTATTTCAGACTGACATATATTAAAAGTATATTTTTTAGAATGTCAATGTTAAGAAATATTATTAAAAGTTAAGGAATAAAAAAAGCCAGTACTAAATACTGTTTCAAAAGTATGAATAAAGGCGAAAATACAATATAAAACAAAATAGTATAAAGTAGATGAAAAAGTTTGATATTTCTTAAAATTACTGTATTCTTATAAAATAATAATTTTATATGTAATTTGCATACGAGAACAACCCTTTACATTTCAGCAATTACGAACTCGTAAAACA